TTAGGGCTCCTAAAGTTAAAGAAAATCATATGTAGTATGCGAACTCCCATCCTGATTTTGTCCATAAACAGTTCAAGATGTGTAGTTATAAAACTATTTTTTTAGAGCACTTAACAAAATAACTGAAAAACTTTGATGAAGAAAACATTTGATATGATTCAGCTTCTGGTGCTTTGGTTAAAATTAGAAACGAATACCTCTTTGTTTCTTTGTCATGGTTGATTCTGAAAGTAACTGCTTATGTTTCTGTACTGTGGCGCTTAGTTCCTAGTTCCTTGATATCGAAGGTTAAAGAGCAGCATGTTCCTGCTCTATTCTTTGTTATGCCTAATTAGTTCACCCGAGTTGATTAAAACAAAGCCGAAGAAAGAATCTAAAACTCTATTTTGGAAGAACCAACTTGATTTCGCTGGCTAGTTTAGTTTGTGTGAAGTACTCAGATATGATCAAAACACAATGTATTAATGTGTAAAATAATTACTAAGAGGTTTATATGCCAAAATATATTATTTCCAGAATGCGACTCATACAAGGGCTTCCTCTGAGATTATCAGTGTGTTGAGAGAGCCGGCTGCAGCAGAGAGAGTTTTGCTGGGCTTACTTGGTCCTGATGATACCAGGATTATGCAGGAGTACGATGACGGTGGTTTGAGGCAAAACTTATCCCACCATGCCCTTGGTGTAAGTGATTGTCCTCAAGATTTCATTGAATTACCATTTCTGTGTTGATCTGAATAATTTAATTTTGCTACTATGTCGATTATTTCAGGCCTGCCTCCACTTTGCCATGTGGCTAAGGGAAGATGGAGAGTCTTCCTTAGCCTCCAGGGAGCGCGATGAAGCCAGAGCTCGTGTTGCAGAGCTGGAGGAAAATGTTAGGAATGTTGAGGAGATTCTTAGGCATCAGGTCCAAGAGTATGAGTCTAAGCTGAGTGGTCTGCAAAATCATGTTGACCAGCTAAGTCAGAAGGCTGAGTTGTGCGAGAGGAATTGGAAGGAGCAGGAGGCCTTGCATCAGGAGAAGGACACTCTTATGGTAGAGGTTTTGAGGCTGCGTGAGGAAGCTATCTCTGAGCTTGCCAAGGTCACTCAAAGTCATGACGTGGCCAGAACACGTATCAAAAATCTGACTGGTGCCCTCACTCGGAGCAGGAAGCTCTACGAGCAGGCTGAGGTTGAAGTGAAGAAGGTTCAGCAGGACTGCGAAATGGATAGGATCCTTGGGGAAATAGAGAAGGAAGAGCGTGCGAAGAAAGAGGCCAAAGACGTTGATGGAGAAGTGGGGGCCCAGCATCCTTCGACTTTCTGGACAAGGTGCTATAGATGCAATGTTCATTTTCTGTATAGTAGGGTTTATGTAGATCGTCTTCTCTGCTGCCAACAATGTCAAACCACCTTTGTGTCTAAAGAAGTCTACATCATGTCACCATCTGCACTTGTTGAGTCATCCAGTAACTCTTCTCACCAGCAACATGTTGATACTGAAAGTCAAGGAACTGCTAGTGGCGGCAAGCCCCCATATCTTGGAGTGGTCTCCCTAAAAGACCCCGGAGGAAGCTGAAGACCTGGACGGGCATGGATGGAGAGGGATCAGTCGATGCAATGCAGGATGAAGAAAGGGGTGGTTGTTAAGAAAATACATATTTTGTAAACCTTTTGTTTTCTTGGCCTATCTAACTAACAGTAACCCTCTCCTACCAAAAGCCCTTTTTGTATGGTCAACTAGCAGCCCTTTTTTATTACTCTAATCAACTACGGTATTATCAAATATATATCAATGATTTACATCAAATCTCTTTCAACACAAAAATGTCACCTTTAAATTTTCATGTTTAGATATATTTCAATCTTGTTCGTAGATATTTAAGTACTTATATTCACTTCCTGCATGTTGGCACCGATTAGTTTTAAGTTGTGTAAATCATCTCTGAATGATTCTTAATCAGTGACATGAGTTTTCTGATGCTTAATACACTAGGTTGTTGTTTATGGTTTAAGCTATATAACTTAATGTTTAGCATGCTTATTCATAGGACTTTTTGATTCTCAAGTATATTCACCAAATTGTAAGTCTTTGCAGAGAGAAGTTCTGTTCTAGCTCCAATGCGAAGTTTTTGTGACAACGGAACTTCTCCTCAAAATTCTACCCAAACAAAACCAGATAGTGTTACATTCAATGCCCTCAAATGATGTGAATCTGCCGGAGGGGGTAAGAATGGATTACCAATCAGTCCATGTTATTGTTTCACATGCATCAGATGGACCACTCTTTTCTTTAGAGGTATTGTCTCCTTGTTAAAGACACTTATCAGGGCTCCTAATGTTGAAGAAAATCATCTGTACAGTAGGATGATAACTCGCATTCTGATTTTGTCCGGAAACAGTTCAAGAGATGTAGTTATATAACTATTTTTTAGAGCACTTACACGAAAATGAGGAAAACCTGTGATATGATTCGTCTTCTGGTGCTTTGGATGCGACTCGTGCAAGGGCTTCCCCTGAGATTATCAATATGTTGAGAGAGCCAACTGCTGCAGAGAGTGTTCTGCTGGGCTTACTTGACCATGATGATACCAGGATTATGCAGGACATACACATCCATCATCAAAGATTTAGGCATTAAAAATTTGTTTGTTACACTTACACTAACAACCACAATCCATGAGAAAAAGAATAGTAATGTTTTCGATTCGAAACTACTTCATTTACAAACATGGGAGTAGCATGGATACAAGCATTCATACAAGCGTCGTTTTAATCCAATTTTCAATGATGCCCTTGACTTTGGGGCTTTGATGTAAGATGAGGCGTAAGATGACAAGTGGATAACTATATAAAATGCTTAAGACTGAAAAGTTGCTCTCTGTAATTGATGAATTAGTAGAAGCAATGATCATCAGACCTCATTGTTGAATACGAAGCTGAGCTGCTCTGGCCGGCCCCACAAGTGTATGTAGCTCCGCATCATCCACCAAATCTCACCCTGCGGCCTTCATCAATCCCGTCGTTGCTCTGTCCTCGAGTCTATAAAAGAAGATTCTGCTTGGCTACAACGGAGTTCTTAAATATTGATGGTTTCAAAAATATTGATAGTTAAAAAACACGGAAATATTAGAAAAATATCGATATTGATAAAAATTAGATAAAAATCATGAAAATTGTGATAAATACATGTAAATTTTTAATGAAGTTTTAGAAGAAGTTTATTTAGTCAATCATCTATTATTTTAACACAAAAAATAAGAAGGAAATACATTGCATAGTGGGTTTGAATGATTTAAGTTTATTATATTACGCGTTGACAAACTCTATGACTTAGAAAATCTGGTGTAATTACTGAAAGAAAATTAAACACCCCTAGTAATTTATTTATCATTTTTTACTACAATATTTTACACTTTATAAATTGTATGGTAAGATACATAAGTAACCTTATTTCACGTTATTCACTAGATATAATGTTCTTATATTTATTATTTATCAAAAATTGAAAAATAATTAAAGATGTAAACTAACTTGATTTATCATGAAAATTAGGCACTTTATCATGCTTAAAAAATAATAGTGAAGATTGAAAATTAACTAAGAACATAAATAAAGTTATCCAAAGAAGAATTAAATAGGAAATAAAAATAATAATTATAGAGATTAAGTAATTAAGTAACAATTTGAAGGGTAATTGAGTAATGTAAGTACTTATAATGAGTAATAAAATAATCAATAACATTAAATGAATTAAATAGGAAATAAATAAATTATATTAAGTAATTAAGTAGAACAATAAGTAATTATGTTAATTTCTATTTTGAGAAACATCTGGCAGGAGTTATGAATACGAGATTCAATAGGTAATAATCACAAAGTGTTGACTAGCGTAGTGGTTAAGTGGCTTCAGAACTTAAAAGGGGGAGGGGTTAAAAAACATATTAGGATCACATACAAATTCCAATTTTATGCAGGAACGAATACAATAAAACAAAAGCAGAAAAATCATAGTACAATAATCGTTTAACAATTCTTGGTGAGACCAATTTCCATGCTAAAATGCAATTTGTGTGACAAGACAATGTAAGGGAAATAATGTTGAAATTCCCAAAGAAAAAAGAAGATTAATGGTCAATGAAAGCAAGAAAATGACTTCTGAATTCAATCCCACCGCAAAAACTTGCACACACGTTTAATCTCACCCGTAGATTCCGTCCCAAAATATTTTAGTCTCTTAAACCCCACCGTCGTGGCAGTTTATGTTGTTTTTGGCGCGGCACCAGGACCAATCTCCGAGAAAAAAAAAAAAAAAAAAGGTGGCAGATACATATATGCATGAGACAAAATATATAATCTTCTATTTCTTTTCCTCACCCCAAGCGCACTTGCCCTCTTCCAGGGTTTTACTTTCACCAACTCAGTGACAGCTCTCTACGCCTTCTACAACCGACCACCACCTTCCCCAGCCTCCTCAGGTACAAAGGAAATGACTTTCTCTTTCCAATGGCTTTTCTTTTTTTAAAGTCATTTGCTTGATGGATAGGGACCACTCTTAGCTTGTTTACTGAGTTTCTGGTGATGGGCATTTTTGGGTTTATGAGCTCCAAGGCACAAAAGGGCTCTACATTTCTGCATTGAATCTGCCATTTGTGAGAGTCTTGTTTTATATTTTGGCTGTGGTGGGTTGGTTGGTGGGGTTGACCTAGCTTTCAAAGGTCAGACATTAGGAATCCTTTAACTATACAGGTGCTTTTTTTTATATTAAAGAAGGATTCTTTCAATTAACATGATGGGTTGATTTTGGTTTGCTTATATCCAACTACTTGTTACAGCCAGCCATTCCATTGGGGACCAGTTTTAGATTGTATAACCATCAAAAGCATTGTTTCTCTAGTCACTTTAATCAAAGGCACAAAAGGGTTTCAAGTAACTATCTGGGGAAGTTATTGTTAATTTTTTTCCTTATTTTTAAATAGTGTCTTTCTGCTTTTGTGAAAGTTCTGAGTCACTTATTTTTAGCTACATGTATTTGCATTCTAGCTTCTCACAACTATACATATTTCAATTTCCAATTCCTTGTAGATTTTTTTTAGATTACTTTTGGGGTGACCACTGACCAAGTGAAGTTGAAATGCACTTTTAGATAATGTAGCTAGTTGGTAGCTTTTTTTTTTCCTGCTCACTATAAACACTAGTTTCATCTGACGAGCCTATAACCTTTGGAATAATACTTATGAACTTAATTTCTGAATGGTAAACACAACATGTTCCTCTGAAATTCATCGTCCTTTAATGCTCTTTCTATAGCTACTTGCATTCTGTTTTGATTTCCTTGTTCATATTTATATGTCTAGTGTTTGTAGATTAGAGTACTTTAAATTGCTTTGCAAACCTGTATAATCCTTCAATGACTTGTTCCCACTTGAAACTCAAATCTGTATATGTTTGCATCGGTATAATAATTAGTCTGCTTGTTTATCCAAGGAATAACGTAATTCATAAGGAAGGTCATCAAGTGAGCTCTCTACATCCATAATATGGAATCAGCCATGGTGAGCTTAAGAAGAAGCAAACGCTCAAGACTAAGCTCTGGTAAAAGTTCTGAAATGTGCTATATCACATATGAATAAGTTTGGGCCTATATACTAATTTTAAGCTGTATAATAAATCACCTCTCAATAGGTTCTTAATCACTGACAGTAATTTTATGATGCTTGATACACTAGGTTCTTATTTATGCTTTAAGCTGGGTAACTTAGTTTTTAGCATGCTTATTCATAGGAGTTTTCTGCTGTGTAACTCACATGTCAGCGAGTTGAGAATTTTTTTTTAATTTTGGTGAATAAGAATCTGATTAAATATGTTCTTTTTTATTCTTAAGTAGATTCACCAAATTGTTGGTCTTTGCAGAGAGAAGTTCTGTTCTAGCACCATTGCCAAGGTTTTGTGACAAGGGAACTGCTCCTCAAAATTCTACCCAAACAAAACCAGATAGTGTGCATCCAGTGCCTTCAAATGATGTAAATCTGCCAGAGGGGGTAAGAATGGATTACCAATCAGTTCATGATATTGTATCACATGCATCGTATGGACCACTCTTTTCTTTATAGGTTTTGTCTACTTGTTAAAGACACCTGTGAGGGTTCCTAAAGTTAAAGAAAATCATCCGTAGGATGATAACTCCCATACTGACTTTTTCCCGAAACAGTTCAAGATTCGTAGTTATATAACTAATTTTTTAGAGCACTTATACGAAAATAACTTAAAAACCTTGATGACGAAAAAATTTGATATGATTCATCTTCTGGTACTTTGGCTAAAATTAAAAAAGAATACCTTTTTGTTTCTTAGTCATGGTTGTTTCTGAAAGTAACTGCTCTTGTTCCTGTACTATGGCGCTTAGTTCCTAGTTCCTTGATATGGAAGGTTAGAGAGCAGCATGTTCCTGCTCAATTCTTTGTTATGCCTAATTAGTTCATCCGAATTAATTAAAACGAAGCTGAAGAAAGAAATCTAAAACTCCTTATTTGGAAGAACCAACTTGCTTTCTGTGGCTAGTTTACTTTTGTGTAAAATAACTACTAAGAGTTGCAAATGCCAAAATCTATTATTTCCAGAATGCGACTCATACAAGGGCTTCCCCTGAGATTATCAGTATGTTGAGAGACCCAGCTGCTGCAGAGAGAGTTTTGCTGGGCTTACTTGGCCCTGATGATACCAGGATTATGCAGGAGTATGATGACGGTGGTTTGAGGCAAAACTTGGCCCACCATGCCCTTGGTGTAAGTGATCGTCCTCAAGATTTCATTGCCTTACCATTTCTGTGTTGATCTGAACAATTTAATTTTGCTACTATGTCGATTATTTCAGGCCTGCCTTCACTTTGCCATGTGGCTAAGGGAAAATGGAGAGTCTTCCTTAGCCTCCAGGGAGCGCGATGAAGCCAGAGCTCGTGTTGCAGAGCTGGAGGAAAGAGTTAGACATGTTGAGGAGATTCTGAGGCATCTGGTCCAAGAATACGAGTCTAAGCTAAATGGCCTGCAAAATAATGTTGATCAGTTGAGGCAGAAGGCTGAGTTCTGCGAGAGGAAATGGAAGGAGCAGGAGGCCTTGCATCAGGAGAAGGCCACTCGCTTGGAAGAGGTTTTGAGCCACCTTGAGGAAGCTAACTCCGACCTTGCCAAGGTCACTCAAAGTCATGACGTGGCCAGAACACGTATCGAAAAGCTGACTGGTGCTCTCACTCGGACCAGAAAGCTCTACGAGCAGGCTGAGGTTGAAGTGAAGAAGGTTCAGCAGGACTGCGAAATGGATAGGATCCTTGTTGAAATAGAGAAGGAAGAGCGTGGGGGAAAAAGGATTGCTCTGGCCACCGAGCTAGGGCTGGTAGATGACTTCCAAAACCAAAACCAGAAGATGGAAGGTGGGATCATACCAACGCTGGAGCTACACAAAGATGTTAGCAAGCAAATTGAAGAAGCCAAAGACGTCGATGAAGAAGTGGACGATGACCAGCATCCTTGGACTTTCTGGGCATGTTGCAATCGCTGCAAACTTCATTATGAGTATTACAGGGTTGATGATGTAGGTGCTCGTTTCTCTTCCTGCCCAACTTGTCAACCGGTTTCTCTGGCTATAGAATTGTCTCCACCTCCTGCAGTTGGAGGATGAAGATGTCGAGACTCAGGGTGCGCTCTCATTGAGACAGAGAGACAGAGAGACAGAGAGACAGAGACAGATACAACTACATTATTATCAAATATATATCATAGATCAACTAGCAAAGCCCTTTTTTATTACTCTAATAGTGGGATCTGCACAGATACAACTACATTATTATCAAATATATATCAATGATCGTATTTAGAGTTGTGTTTCAACACAAAAATATGCCATCTTTATTTGTTCATGTTTAGAGTTATATTTTAAGCTTGTTTGTGGATATTGAAGTACTTAAACGGTTACGATCAAAACTCTTAATCAAACATTTATATAATAATAAAAAAGAAATCTTTATCAAAACTTTCAAAACTTTATTGGCTTTCATTAATGGTGGTAAATGACACACAAAAGGACACACAAAATGGGAAATTAAAAGAAAAGGTGGTAAATGCATACGAGACATGGTAACACATATAGTCTCTTTGCTTGCTAACCTCCTTCCCGAATCAAAGTCTCTCTGCCTTTCCCTCTGCCTTTGCATTTGCCTTTCTCAAGGGTTTTAAGAACTGCCTCTGATTCTCTGCCTCCGGTGCTCAGGTACAAAAAAGAAGAGTACTTTCTCTTCCCAGTGGCTTCTTGTGTCTTTTGTTCTTAATGGGCTGTTGATTCATGGCTTGTTCACTGAGTTTCCGGTCATGGGTGTTTTGCATTTTTTAGCTTTAAGGCACAGAAGGGTTCTTCTTTGTTGTTGGCTTGGTGGGTTTCTCTTGATTCTGTGTTCCGGCTTGTCGAAGACTGTGAACTGGGTTTTGCTTTTAGTATTTTACCATTTACCAATAGCTCCCTGCAAGAGAGCTGGTACGTTGGTGGGGTTGACTGAACTTTCCAAGGTCAGAAATTTAGGATTTTTATCAATCGAGCTGCTTTTCTTGGGTTCTTTTAATTCAAATCCCATTTTTGTATGAACGAAGATAATAAGCCCAAGTGGGAGAATCATGTTGAAGTCATTTAAAGAAGGTTTTGCTTGCGCCTACTGTTTTCTCTGTGTTCTGTTTCCCTTTGGGACTGTTATAGCTTGTGTTGTAAGCACCAACAACGTTGTTTCCCTAGTCACTTCAATCACAAACGCAAGGTTTTTAAGCTACTATGTGGTGAAGTTACTGTTTGAGTTTCCTTCTTCTTCTTTTTTCCGTTAATCTATTCCTGCTGTTATCAGAGTTCTGAGGTAGTTAGCAAAGCAGCTCCTCATAATAACAAGTCATAAACCTCTCTAATTGCCAATTTCTTATAGATCTTATTGGGATTGGGTTAATATTTTGTGGTACCAATTGAAACAGAAATACACTTTTTGATCATGTGACTAATTGGTGGTCTTATCCTGCCCTAATAGACATTAGTATAATTAGTCTGAGTTGTGCTAATATTGTTAAGTCGTTCCCACTTGAAAATATGTATTTGCATCATTATAATTAGTCTGCTTGTTTATCCAAGGAATAACATGATTCATGAGGAAGGCCGCCAAGCGAGCTCCTTTCATCCATAATATTGAATCAGCCATGGTGAGAGTAAGAAGAAGCAAACACTTGAGACTACGTGCTGGTAAAAGTTCCGAAATGTGCTATATCACATATGTGGGCCTATTCATATTAGTTTTAAGCTGTATAAATCACCTCTCAATGATTCTTAATCAGTGACAGGAGTTTTCTGATGCGTAATACACTAGGTTGATGTTTATGGTTTAAGCTATGTAACTTAATGTTTAGCCAGCTTATTCATAGGAGTTTTCTGCTGTGTAACTCACTTGTCAGTGAGTTGAGATAAATTTTCAATTTTGGTGAATAAGAATCTGATTGAATAGGTTCTTTTTTATTCTTAAGTATATTCACCAAATCGTAGGTGTTTGCAGAGAGAAGTTCTGTTCTAGCTGCACTGCTAAGGTTTTGTGACAAGGGAACTGCTCCTCGAAATTCTACCCAAACAAAACCTGATAGTGTGCATCCAATGCCTTCAAATGATGTAAATCTGCCAGATGGGGTAAGAATGGATTTCCAATTAGTCCATGTTATTGTATCACTTGCATCAGATGGATCACTATCTTCTTTAAAGGTTTTGTCTACTTGTTAAAGACACTTGTCAGGGTTCCCAAAGTTAAAGAAAATCATCTGTAGGATGATAACTCCAATCCTTATTTTGTCCCAAAACAGTTCAAGATTTGTAGTTGTATAACTAATTTTTTAGGGCATCTATACAAAAAGAACTGAAAAACCTTGATGAGGAAAAAATTGAATATGATTCATCTTCTGGTGCTTTTGGTTAAAATTAGAAAAGAATACCTTTTTCATGGTTGGTTCTGAAAGTAACTGCTTATGTTCCTGTACTATGGCGCTTAGTTCCTAGTTCCTTGATAGAGAAGGTTCGAGAGCAGCATTTTCCTGCTCGATTCTTTGGTATGCCTAATTAGTTCATCCCCATTAAATAAAACAAAGCAGAAGAAAGAAATCTAAAACTCTATTTTGGAAGAACCAACTTGCTTTCTGTGGCTAGTTTACTTTGTTTGTAGTACTCAGATATGATCAAAACACAATGTATCAATGTGCAAAATAACTAATAAGAGGTGTATATGCCAAAATCTATTATTTCCAGAATGGGACTCATACAAGGGATTCCCCTGAGATTATCAGTATGTTGAGAGAGCCAGCTGCTGCAGAGAGAGTTTTGCTGGGCTTACTTGGTCCTGATGATACCAAGATTACGCAGGAGTATGATGATGGTGGTTTGAGGCAAAACTTATCCCACCATGCCCTTGCTGTAAGTGATTGTCCTAGAGATTTCATTGCCTTACGATTTCTGTGTTGATCTGAATAATTTAATTTTGCTACTATGTCGATTTTTTCAGGCCTGCCTCCACTTTGCCATGTGGCTAAGGGAAAATAGAGAGTCTTCCTTAGCCTCCAGGGAGCGCGATGAAGCCAGAGCTCGTGTTGCAGAGCTGAAGGAAAGAGTTAGACATGTTGAGGAGATTCTGAGGCATCTGGTCCAAGAATATGAGTCTAAGCTAAATGGCCTGCAAAATAATGTTGATCAGTTGAGGCAGAAGGCTGAGTTCTGCGAGAGGAAATGGAAGGAGCAGGAGGCCTTGCATCAGGAGAAGACCAATGCATGCGAGATATAGTACACATCTAGTCTCTTTTCACCTTTTCTTGAATCACAATCTCTTTGCCTTTGGATTTGCATTTCTCAAGGGTTTTAAGAACTGCCACTGATTCTCTGCCTCCGGTGCTCAGGTACAAAAAAACGAGTACTTTCTCTTCCCAATGGCTTATTGTGTCTTTTGTTCTTAATGGGGCTGCTGATTCATGGCTTGTTCACTGAGTTTCCAGTCATGGACTCATGGGTTATTCTTTGTTGTTGGCTTGGTGTGTTTCTCTTGATTTTGTGTACTGGATTTTGCTTTTAGTATTTTACCAATAGCTCCCTGCAAGAGAGCTGGTATGTTCGGTGGGGTTGACTGAACTTTCCAAGGTCAGAAATTTAGGATTTTTATCAATCGAGGTGCTTTTCTTGGGTTCTTTTTATTCAAATCCCATTTTTGTATGAACGAAGATAATAAACCCATTTTCCAAGGTGAGAGATATTCATGTTCAAGTCATTTAAAGAAGAATTTTGCTTGCGCCTACTGTTTTCTCTGTGTTCTGTTTCCCTTTGGACTGTTTTAGCTTTAGTTGTAAGCACCAACAACATTGTCTTTATCCTGCTCATAATAATAGACATTAGTATTATTAATTTGAGTTGTTGCGCTAATAAACATGTGTAATTAATCTCCTTGTTTTATTAAAGGAATAACGAGATAGATCAGAAAGGCCACCAAGTGAGCTCTCTGCATCGAGTTTGGAATCAACAATGGTGAGCTTAAGAAGACACACACACTTCAGACTATGCGCTGGTAAAAATGTGTTGAAATGTGATATACAAGATATGACTAATTGCCTTAACTTGTTGCATACACCTGTATTGTTGCACTGCTCTTAGAATTTTTGGCATGCGTATTCATACGAGTTTTAAGTTGGGCAATTATAACTTTTCAGCGCTTTGAGATGAATTTTATGATTTGGTGACTAAGAATCTGATTTAAATCTGTTTATTCTTAAATCAAAATGGTCACCAAATTATAAGTCTTTGCAGGAAGAACATCACTTCCTAGGTTTTGTGACATCAGAACTGCCCTGACTTCTAGGCATGCAAAACCAAAGAGTGTGCATCGGATGCGTTCAAATGGTTCAAATGATGTAAATCAGCCAGAGAGGGTAAGAATGGATTACCAAACAGTCCATATTATTCTATCACTTGCATCAGATGTACCTCTGTTTTCTTTGAAGGTTTTACTAACATGTTAACGCACTGATCTGATGTAGGATGATAACAATTCAAGATCAAGAGTTCTTGTTTATATTTTGAGAACACTTCTATGACAATGACTTAGAAACCTTAAATAAGGAAAACTTTGATGTGATTTATATTCCGGTGTATAAATGTCTTGTAAAATTCAAGTGCATAAGATTCAATGTTTGATGAATATGTCCTGAGTTCTAGATTCCCATGTCTTATAACTAATAAGATGTGTATATTCCAACTGTATAATTTCCAGAATGCGACTGCTGTAGGGGCTTCTGCGAAGGTTTTCACCGATGCAGTGCTGGCTTTGCCTGCTTTTGCAAATGTGGGAAGTGAGTCAGCACACTCTCTTATACCGAGGCGGCGCTTTGAGATTGATGGGAGTTCTCTGGGGGCTTATATATCTCAAAGCAACCAACTTATACCCTTGCAGAGCCAAGTAAAAGACCAAGAATCTTACACCCTTCAGCTTGACAACAAGATAGAGAACTTGCAGACCATGATCAGCAAGCTAGAGGAGGAGAACACAATGCAAACTGGTGAACTGGACACTGCAAAGGTTGAACTTGAGAAGCAGCCAGCTGACTTGGAGATGCTTGAGTTTGACAAATTACTTTTGCAAATGGTTGAGGAGCTGTGCGGGAATGTAGAGCTCATGCATCAAGTAGACTTGGTGATGGGTGAGCCCAACCAAATGTAGCTGAGGGAGATTTTGCAAAAGGCTGAGAAGCTGCGTGAGGATCTCAGAAGCTTCGCTTCAGCCGATGTTGTGGAGGATTCTGCGGCTCAAACAGACTGAGAAGACAGAGAGAATAAGTGACTGATAACTAAAGGCTAGTTTAGATTAACAGAAATAGAGAGGAAAGTAAACATATTTTTGGGAGCTTTTTCTTGTGTATATATCCAACCCACCCTCATCAAGCAAAGCCCTGTGGGATTGCACATATACAACTCAAGTATTATCAGTACAAATTATGAAATTAACTACTACTTATCACATGCAGATAGTTATTCATTTGATCATGCTTTTTCTTTTTCAAAAATCTCATAATGGTTAAGTATGACAATTTAAAGAACTAAAAACGTGTAAATGTTCCTACATCTCTCTAAAGCTATGGGCATACAGCATGGGGGCTTATTAAGCTTCCGTGACAAGAATATTTATTCACATATCTACAAGAGTTCGACTCTCGACCTCTTCTCTCTTGAATAAATAGGTAATTGACAAATTTTTGTCCAAACACTAACAAAGTACATTAGGTTATAATACAATGCTATAGCAAAGTAGATTAGGAAAGAAAATATAAATGCTCAATAATATCATTTGGATAAATGAATTCTAGTCCTTTTTTTAATTCCCTGGTTGGGTTTGGAATTTCTAGACGAAGAAGAACTCTATGCATTAACATCTGAATTTACCAAATTATCCTCAGTGTAATTTTCAGTCACAAGACCAATAGCGTTACTAATCTTTATTGTGTTTGATTTTTGTTTCTTTCCTTTTTTTTCTTTTTCTTTTTGTGGGTTTCGCCCTTTCCACTGGGCTAAATTCCATTGGCTTTCGGTTGGTGATTTTTGTCTTTAATATAAAAACAAAAAAATTTCTTTTTGGATAATCACACCAATTAAAAAGGGGAAGCGAGGATGGCAAAACGCTAAACTTTATATCTTCCACAAAAATTAATACATATCCCCAAACAACACAACCCTAATTCCCAAGTAAAGGCCGAAACCTCAAAGATGAATTCGGAGGTACTTATGAAGATGGTAGCACCAGAGAAATACTTGAAGATGGCAGACTTGTTTAGTCGCTTGATTTTTTACCTGAGGTTGCTTGGTCTGCACAAAAAACCAACCACTTTTCGCAGTATTTGTGCCCTAGTGGAATTCATGGGCCATAAAAAAAAGTTCACCTGCAGGCATCTGGCTCAGATAAAATTTTTACTGCCCGAAGCCATACAGACAGATGCAGTTTATGTGCAGGACATTAAAACTGGGCGCATGAAACCTGACATGAACATCACCTTGCTGTTTCACGATGTTTTTGTTCTTGCACAAGGCGGTGGTCAATCTGAACCGTCCGATCAATTTGAAGCTCTGCGCCAGCTTTTTGTGTCTAGGCTTGTTCAGTTTTTGTCTGAGAATCCTGAGGCTTGTGATGTTCCGGGGGCTGTGTTGCCTCAGCCTTTTGGCCACAATGGGCAAGAAACTCACGCTGCAACCGCAATTGAAACGGAGATGTTGGCGGAGCAAGTCCCCTTCCATATTCATCAAGATTTCTTGAACCTCAAGATACAGGACGACCTTCAGCAATTTCATTAGGTCTTAGAGTTGTTTTGAGATTTTTTTTAGATTGTTTGTTCTTTCTATTTTGTGATCTTGTTCTTTCAATTCGAGATTGTTTGTTGACATTAGGATGATTTTGCTCATTGCTTCATTGCGGCAAAAAGAAACCAACTAGCTCTAGGTCTAATATTCTTTTTCCTGGCAAAGGACTTGTAACAGAAGAGGTGATGATTTCAAATCTCTCTTCCATTATCGTTTGTATCAAAAAAAAATTCTTCGAACGCTTGAAACGAAAACCACAATTTTTTCAGTTGTACTACACCCGGAAACCTTCCAAGCAATTGCATAAGAGCTTAATTGTGCACAATCGAATGGGAGTGAAAATCGAACTCCTCCCAAGGCAATCCAACCAAGCTAGGTTGTAGTTGTGCTAGTTGAATGCAATCTGGTGAAAATCCACAACACACTAACCCCATTGGAAAACTTTGGTAATTTTTATAGATCACGCGGGTAATGATGCAATTACCAGATGATTAATTTAGGGCTTTACGCAATTATGTATGAAAAGCAAATTATGCAGGGGAGTGAAGGTATCACTTTATAAGCATTGCAGTTTGCGAAAATCACTACACCTCATACTTAAAGGCTATTTGCAGGATGAGAATACTTGATGTTTCATTCCAATAGGAACTACATTTCCAAACATACAAAATCATGATTCGGATGGTGAAAGAACTTTTAACTACAAATGTATTGTTTGAAAAGATACAGATAAGCCATGACAGAGCAAAAGGAGCAAAAGGCTTGTCTTAAACAAAATACTGATCATATTAAGTGCTTACAATCCTAAACAAACCCATAGCTCTGTCTTAAACAAAATACTCAACTTAAAAGCCTAGAATTCTAAACCGATCCATCGCTTATCATGCCAAGATTCTTTCACTCATTCATTACGGGCTTGTTCTCACTGGCCTTTGGCCTATGTTCCTTGGGCTTCTGCTCTTCCAACTTCCTGGAGTGTCCAACAAAAATACAGCCATATGTCAGGAAGAACCTCATGATAACAAGACCGATTTCACAATACATGAAAGAAAGAAAGGAAAAATAAACAAGACCACGCACTACATAAAAGGGCATAATCCCTTATGCAAGACCATGCACTACATAAAAGGGCATAATCCCTTATGCAAGACCATGCACTATATAAACCCTAAACACTATATAAAAGGGTACTAACAGAGCAGAACACCATATGCAATTCAACATGTAAAAGTTCGAAGTAAACAGCACTTCAATAGAAAAAAGGACACAAAATTACTAAACAAAAGGGGCGCCATGTCACTTAAACTCTTAATTAAACCCTTCAGAAACAGGCCTCAAGAGGTTAACCGCTTTTATTCCGTATTAGAGATTATACATTTCCCACAATGTGGATCCCATTAAAACCAACCACGACTGCTTAGTAAAGTTTTAAAGTATTCGCGGATGATAATACAGGGCATCCCTAATGAAGCCAAATTAGTTATACTAAAGCAACAAATAATGAACTACAATTTATCGAGCTCACAGAATAGTTGAAAAGAACAAAGCATAACAAGCTGCACCTTGGCATATTATTAGTACAAGTGTGCAACCAAACACAAAATATGCATACATTCAAAAAGTGTTTCCCTGTTTTAGAATCAAAACCAAGCATTTTACCAAAATGACAAGTTCAGTTAGCAATGCATATGCTAAAGTCTGAAAAAAGCAAGAATGCAAAGAAAAACCTTTAAATCATCAACGCAACATCCACAGCTATAATAGAAACTCAAGTTTTCATGATTCAATACACGATTGAATTAACAATTCTTGCTCAAACTCAGCTCGACCAGGCCAAAATGCACTCAAGAGATAGAAATGCATAAATAAAAAATTGAGTCTTATCCATAGGTTTGATTGTTTGAAAGCATAACTTATAAACCACCGATTGAAATCATTTCCTCGCTTTCACGTCGACAAAGTTAGAAGACCAAAATTTCCACAATCAGAAATATCTCAGCAAAGGTTCGAAACAAAAAGCCCCAATTCCACACGAAATAAACAAGAGGAAAAAAAAAACCTACAAGACCTAAACAAACGGCTATTACAGTACAGAGGTTTGCGTGTGGTGCGAGAGATAACAGAGAAGGAGATTGAAGAAAAGGAAAATACCTCTTATCGGAGGAGCCTCCCTTCTGGCTGAGGAAAGATCGGAAGAGGGGTGAGTTGACGTCGTAGATCATCGTTCCGATTACTTTGGTTTGCTGATTGTGCTCTGCCGATTTAGAAAACCCTAACCCTAGTTCTCTCTGAGTCGTTTGGCTTCCGCAACCTTCGGTTAAAAGGCGGTATGGCGGGCTTTTATATGGGAGAAGGCGGTGACCGGGTTTTTCTAATCGGGTACCCGCCTCAACATCATATCATTATTGGGCTTATGGTCTGATGCGAAAATTCAAGCCCAACTGGGTGCTCTGAAATATTTTTTTCTTTTCACAGAAAATAAAATTCATTTAAAGGAAAATATCTTCAGACATTTTTGTATAGAGTTGGCCCATGCAGCTGGCCTATCGAAGATCACTCATTAACGCCCTGTTTAATAACTTTGGTGGACGATGATGGTGGTAGGGATAACGTAAAAGGATGATTTTTTTTTTTTTTTTTGTCTAAACCATGAGGGGGTTCTGGATGGGNNNAAAAGGATGATTTTTTTTTTTTTTTTGGTCTAAACCATGAGGTGGTCCTGGATGGGCCCCAACTATGGGTGGCACCTTTAAGCCTTAACCACAACTCAGACTAATCCCCACTCACACCGGGTCGGCCCGTAAGGGGTAAAGTGTTGGCCAAAGTGGTGACTCCGTACGAGAGCAGGGATCGAACCCCTGACCTCTCTTAAGGAATGAGAGTGCCGAACCACTCACACCAACCACCTTGGTTGTAAAAGGATGATTTCATTTGTCTACTCATACACAATAATCTCAGATATCCTCATTCATATTCCAACTTTTTGAATCGGTATCATTTAATTTATTTTTTTTGATACAAACGATAGTCTAAACTACAATAGAATGGGGTTTCACACACACACACATAACTAAGATGCAGGGGAAGCCCTGAGCATAGGCGAACAAGACGGTCGCCTAGAGCCTCCAAATTGAGAGGGCCCCAATTTTTATAAACCACTATATACACATAGTGAAATTATATAGTACATATGTATGTTTCTTTAAAAATTGTACTATATTAATATTATATTAAGCCCAAGTACTATTAATTTTTAAAAAACCCAATTATTTACTCTAAAACTAAAAAATGGAAACTTAATAAGGGATCAACTATTTTTTTAAGGCCTTTTTTAAAGTTAAACCGGTTGAATAGGTTAACCAAGTGACATATACCTTAGCAAAAACCACACCAAAAAAAAAAACCTAGCAGCTTATAGGGAAATCTGCTCTACTCAACACAAGAAAAAAAAAAACATGCGGTTTATTAATGAATATCTACTGGAAGAGGAAGCGATCTTCGAGGAAGAACAAGAAGGTAAAAACCCACAAGACTATGGCTTATATTTTCTATTGAAAAATATATGGTAAAAAAGCTTGATTATGCAAAGTTAATTGATACTTTGGCATCGAAAAATGCAAGACGAGTGATATTTTGATGCATTTTATAAAGTTGTTATGTGAATTACATTTTGTTTATTTATGTTTAGGTTACAATTATGACTTTGAGTTCATATAATTTTTTTTTAACTTATCGAAGAAAAAAAAAAGATATACATAGAGAGTAGAAGGCCGCATTTTGGTAGTTCGCTTAGAGCCTCTAAAACCTTAGGACTACCACTGCTAAGATGTCATGTGGATTCGAAACTAAGATCTCTAATATACAAATCAATGTCATTTTTCACTAAATTAGACCTCAATGACTTAATAATTAAGATATTGCCATATCATATTAGGCTTTACTCTATAAAATGTAAAAGTGACAATAAGGAAGATAAAAAAACACCAAATGTTAAAGTAGAATTATTGGAGTGGAGAGGAGGAGTATGGACCATGGACTTTAAATGAGGCAGGCAGGGGCCATAACACGCTTGATTGGGAGTGCACTAGACTTCCAAACATGCGAATTACGATGATATCCTTTTGGTTGTCTTTCTTTGACATTGTCAGCTTTAAATTATTTGTCGAGGAGATTTTTCTTTTTCTTTTTTCATCTCATATCGACATGAGATGGTAAGATACAATTCATCATCATCTATGATTGATGACCAGTGGTAAACTTTATCTTGCCAGTAAATCCAGCTTCTCCAACTTTAGATGTCAAATGCGAATTTTGAATTTTATGATACATGTGATAATTTGACACTTTTGACATTAAATTTTACGGGATGTCAATTACATTGCATTTATTGCCTTCTAATCCATGTAGAACTTGATTTGGTTTGAACAATTTGTCCCTTCAACTTATGTCATTTAATGTCCACCTAAATTTGACTTATCTACCGGAGGCCGCCTTATTGGAAGAATACTTGGAAAACCTCAATTAAGATCCTTTAATTGCCCTCCCTTATATTATGTTATTTTTGACATATCTCTTCGAGCTTTTAAATTCTTGTAGGATTTAACTACTCGGTTGGAATAACTTTAATTTTTAATTTTTGTCATTTCATGTCCATGTGACAATTTAACATATCAGTTGGAAATGCTCGGTTAGAGATTATATCTATAATTATTCAAATCACATTATTAATTGCTCGAGTTCTTCTAATATATATGTTAACGAGGTACACATATAATTGCTGGCTCCATCTATATACCTTCCTCCAGTAGAAACAAATGTTGGCTTAACTTTATGATCATCACATCATCAAGACTGCTGATCTTTTTATGCTAAAAACATACGTATGATTTGACTAGACTCTCTTGCTACAATCCCATCGGACGGCCAATATCTGGTCATCATAGTATATGTGGTATATGCATTCATCCGTACGAGATAAAGTGGGCCCACATGACGGAAGGGACCAAAGTTGACCACCTGGGCATCTAGAGACAAACCAAATTCCGAAGATGCTATTCAGCTCAGCTCTTTCTCTATCCTTTACTGCATTTTCGGATAAATTAAATTCCTTTTTATTTTGTTTTGGCCTTTATTTTATACTTAAGTAGCACCTATGTAGTTAGCATTAAATCTCCTTTTGTTAATTATGTCAAAGTTAGTCTAAACGTTGATGTGGCAAGTACGGATTGGACGAGATTAGTATTTTGTCTAACTTAATTGTCCAAGTCAATGAGAGGGGCTTGATTGCAAAAGTTTTTACCTACAAAGGCATTATTGTCATAATAAAAATTCATGAATTATAATAAAAATACGTGGATGATGAGTATAATTAAGTCAAATATTTTTACTAAGGGCTCTTGTGAATCTCACTATGAGTTTGTTTTCCAAGTGATATTTGGAAGGAGGAAATTCAAACACAGAACCTCAAGTATATAAGTAATTACTCTTAACCAGTTGAGTTACAAACCCTTTACTACAATATTGTGAATTTACCTTCTAAACAAATTATAGTTATAAAAAAAAAAAACTACCATGCGATTCATGGTAATTGGCCGCATCGCCCTAGTAACCTTTGTTTGGGTGAGTTGAGTTATAAAGCATTTTAACAAATTGTCATGGTTGACAGTGTATTAAAATCTTGATATTAAGTAAGAGACATTTAGATCAAGTGGTTAAGAATAATTATTTATGTACCTAAGGTCTGGTATTTGAATTCCCACTCATTGCTTGTATAAAATATACAAAACAACAAATTTTGAGTTGAATATCACAATCAAGTCCAAGGAACCAAGCCAAGAATAATATACTAATAATATATTGGTTTGATTAGACAGGTTAAGTACTGATTAGGGTAATGATTAGGCAGAAAAATAACTTTTTTGCTTTTTGAAAAAGTTTTGGTTTTTGGCAAAAATCAACCCCCAGACCCAAAGGCTTAGGGGTGGTGTGGTTGGCGGGACATTATCTTCATTCTTATATGGCAGGCCGTCCATCCAATCACCGTTTCGTCGGTGCCCTCGCTCGCTACCAACCAACCCACGCTAATAATAATTTCTCTAACCCTCTTTGTCCACCCTTGATATTTGTTTAATGACTGACTTATCCCTCTCCCCTCGTACTATTGTGTTATCTCATGTGCACGGCAGTGAGGATTTTCTATTGGGATGACTACATTGCCCTTTTTGTTTCTTTCTGCAAATTCATAATCTCAATCATGATAATGTTATGTTGTTTAAGATTGTAGATTGAGTTCTAATTGCATCTTGTTTGATTGTTCATTGCTAATGAAATAGGTAATTGGGTACGTTGGTTTCATCTGAAATAGCAACGACTTTAACTAATTTCTTTCTTGTTTTAAGTTAGTAAACACGTTATCGTTTCTCAGCTCTCACCTCTAATTTTGTTGTATCTCCAATTGTCTTATACCAAAAAAGAAAAATCTTGAAAAGAAAAAAAGGGAAGACATTCATTGTGGTTGAAGGTAGAAAAGGAAGGTTTTGAATTAATGAAAAAACATTATATGATTCTCACTTTATTATCCACCACATGGGTTTTAGCAATCTTTTGAACAAGTACTCTTACACAAAAGAAAAAAACTTTTGGAACAAAAATCCTTGTTTAGCTAATAACCACAAGCATAAGCACATGATAATTGGACTTGAAGCTTGAGTATTTATCTATATGAGCGGAAACAACAAGAGTCAATTTTATGAACCAAAAACAGAAATTGTTCAGGGGTATTTTGGTCAACTTATAGACAATGGCACCTATTGGCTAAGGCACAAGGGGTAATACCGAAATTTCCACCAAATTGCTAAAGTTCACACAACACAAGTATACGTTCTGCTTTCTACTATTCATATCCTTCCCTATCTAAGAGACTTGTCTCTCTACAGTCTCGCACCTAAATACCACCACCAGTCCACCACCACCCTCTTCTTAATAATACAAAAGCAAAATTAAATGGGAAATAAAAACAAAAGGTGGTAGATGCATGAGACACAAATACACACAAACACACACTCTCTCTCTCTCTCTTTCTTCGCTCACCACCTTCCCTTCCTTATAAATCCCAATCTTTTTTGCCTTTGCCAGGGATTTTAATTAATTAACATCTGCCTCTAATTCTCCGCGGCCTCTGTGCTCTGTGCTCCAACAACCGCCACCTTTTCTGCCTCCTCAGGTACAAAGAAACTGACTTTCTCTGCCCAATGGCTTTGTTTTGTCTTTTTTCTTGATGGGTTGTTTTGTTTATTCATGGTTTGTTGACTGAGTTTGTGGTCATGGGCATTCTGGGTTGACGAGGTTGGAGCCGCAGAAGGGTTCTTCTTCATTGTGGGGTTTGTGGGTTAGTCTTGATTTTCTGTGTTGTGGCTTGTGTGAGAGTGTATTTGGTGTTTGCTTAGAATTTTGACTGTTGGGTTTTGTTTTTGCTAATATCCCCTTCCATGAAAGGTGGTAGGTTGGTGGGTTGACTTAGCTTTCCAAGGT